CTAAACCCTAAACCCAAAACGACACAGGCGCTCTACGAACTGGTCTGCCGGCACTTTCTGGCTTCCGTCTCGCCGGATGCCGCGCTGCAGGAGGTGCCACTTTTTGGATGTTGGATGGCGGGATTCGGTTTCAAGCGGATCAGTGCCGATGTGGGGTTTTCTGTAAACCCTAAACCCTAAACCCTAAACCCTCCACCCTTTTCTGAGAGCTAGTTGTATTCTTCATCGGTGCTGGTCCTGGGGATAGCTCAAGCCAAAGACCTTAACAGGCCCTGGATCCTAAACTCCCGGATCCTGAGCCCAATGCCCCCGGGTTTAGGGTTCACCCAAGGGGTTTCTCTTCGGGTTATGGCAACCATGAAGTTATCCCCATATGGGTAGTTCTCTAAATTCGGGTCCCTTTTAGGGTCCTTCTTATAAGGGTGCCGTACAAAATTGGGGACCGAAAACGGGATCCTAATTTAAAGAACCCTTAACCAAAAATGGCCACGGCTCAAGACGGGAAGACAGCATGGGGTTTGGGGTTTGGGGTATTAGAGTATCAGGGTTTTGGGTTTTGGGGTTTAGGTTTTCTTTGGGGTTTAGGGTTTAGGGTTCAGGGTTTAGGGTTTAGGGTTTAGGGAGTTTAAGGTTTAGGGTTCAGGGTTATAGGGTTCCGAGACGCCTGGGACTCTACGGAAGAAGCTGTGGAAACTGACCCCGTAGAGCCCCAAAACCCCGATGCGGTGCCCTAGTGCGGCATCACAGAGGACGACTGCCAGCAGACGTGCTTATAGGATTAATGGGGCGTGCTTGGAGAGTTTCAAATTACTTACCTAGACTCCCACGAAGCCGCGAAGTCTACAGGGGCAAGCTTTCCGAGACATCCATCTGACCTTCAGGTTGCAACCATCGGGTTTAGGGTTTAGGGTTTAGGGGTGCGCCCATCGATGACATCAACTTGCACGAAATCGCCTACGGCAGATGGGGCAAGTTTTACCTTGTCCAGTGGAAAACCCTAAGCCCTAAATCCTAAACCCTAAACCCTAAACCCTAAACCCTAAACCCTAAACTCGAAACCCTAAACCCTAAACCCTAAACCCAAAACCCTGTTTCTGCCACTTTGCTACACAGCTGCTGTCTCGAAGGTAAGATCCGAGACGGATCCTCACAGTAAAGTGTTGGAGGAACAGATTGCTGAGGGCCGTCTTGCAGGTAGTGGCACATTGCCTCTTTCTACCATTTCGCAGCCTAGGCCCAAAACCCTAAACCCCGAAACCCTAAACCCTGCAACCCCAAAGCCTAAACCCCAAACCCAAAACCCTGAAACCCTAAACCCTGAAACCCAAAGCCCAAAACCCCTGAGAGGCAGAGGTGGCCTTCGTGTTGGGCCCTGCGCGGTTCGTCGCGGCCAGTCGCCGAGCAACTGGTCCGCCGCAGTCAGTTTTGTTTTTGATTGGGGTGGTTAGGGTTCTAGGGTTCTACTTGGAGGTTCATGGGAAGTTATAAGTAGGGTTATAAGTAGGCTAACTACAGTTATAACCCGTATTAGGGGACTTATAACTCCACTTATAACTACCCATGAACCTCCACGTAGGGTTCTGGGTTTGGGGTATTTGGGTTTTAGGGGGTTTGGGTTTAGGGTTTTATTGTTTTAGGATGATAGGGTTAAGGGTTGAAAGGGTTTAGGGTTGTCGGGTTTAGGCTTTGGGGTTTCGAGGCTTAGGGTGAGGAGAGAATTCGGTATTTAGAGCTTGTGATGCTTGCTTTGGGCTTTGGGGTTCCTGGAGGGCCTTATGCTACACCCTAAACCCTAAACTCGGGCGCGGGGCCTCCGGATTGTAGCGCGGAAGATGTCAGAGAAGTCTTAGGCTTGCGTTTATGGGCAGTTCTCTAAACTAGGGTCCCTTTTGGGGCCCTTTTTATAAGGGTGCTGTGCTACGTTGGGGACTTCAAAGGGGCCCTAATTTAGATAGCTACCGAATGGGGTTTGGGGGTATCACGCATGATGAGTACAACAAGGAGCCAGTGCAGTTTTGAGGGTTTTTCTGTCGATCTAAGGGTTACCTAAATTTTCCTTACTTGCTACGTCGTGGCTTCGGGGTTACTTGTCTGTTCCTAAACCCTAAACCCTAAACCCTGCGTCTGGTTCATGCTGCAGCATGTAGGGCTCCTCGCAGTTTCGACAAAATCATCCTGCAAGCAATGGTGTGGGCATAGATCTCGCTAGAAGCCTTACGGTTTTGGGTTTAGGGCCTAGGGTTTAGGGTAGAGGGGCCGTCGTGTTTCAGGTTTGGTTTCCCTAAACCATACATCCTCAGCCCTTCATCAAAGGTAGCGCCCAACAGGGCCCGTCATTTTACCGTGAAGGCCCTGACGGTCAACTTACGAGGTTGGAACAGCTTAGGTGTACTCGCTGCTCCAGATGCATGGTAGGGTTTAGGGTTTAGGGTACATAGTTTCTGAAGGCGAAGCAAAAGTACCTCGATGAAACAAGCTGAGCCACACGTTCCATTGCACAGAGTCCGGGTGACCACGGCCAAAGCGGGCCCCGTTGCTTCGTAACGGACTACAAGCACCCTGAACCCTAAACCCTAAACCCTAAACCCTAAACCCTAAACCCTAAACCGTACACCCGTCACTTCGGTGACGACAAGGAGTGGGCCAGCCGAGCCGGGCTCAGGCTCGCATCATCAAGGAGCAGCTGGAGTTCTGAAACTGCTCGCAGGGTTTAGGGTTTAGGTTTAGTGTTTAGGGTTTAGGGTTTAGGGTTGAAGAAGGACCCTATGACATGCCGATAACCCTCTTTCGCAGACTTTCTCGAACCTTTGTATTGCCCTTATGGGCACCATGTATATACCCCAGATCTTGAACTCCATTTAAGGACCCTCATTCCAAAATCCGACAACCAGAAGCAAAAAAAAGCAAAAGCCCAAAATCCAAGACCCAAACTAAGAAACCCTAAACCCTCAATCCCTAAACCCCCTAAACCCCCTAAACCCCCTAAACGTTGGCATCCTCGCGCACCCCGGCTGCAGAGGTCCGAGATCCCGGCTGGACGAGGGTGGCCCAAGTTCGACTGCAGGAGCGGCGGCGGCTTCTTTAGGGGTTTAGGGGCTTAGGATTTAAGGTTTTAGGGCTTAAGGCTTAGGATTTAGGGTTTTTGGGGTTTAGGGTTTTTGGGGTTTAGGGGCTTAGGATTTAGAGTTTGGGTTTTGGGGTTTGGAGGCTTAGGAGTTTGGTTTTTGGGGGTCTAGGGTTTAGGGTTTAGGGGGTTTAGGCCTTAGGATTTAGGGTTTAGGGCTATCTACCCAGACCTTCCAATGTCCCTTGATAAGGAATAGGCCCTCAAAGTACAGTAGGATCCCCAATCTGATTTAAGGCTTGCTCCTTGAAATGAGGGATGCTGGAAGGTCTGGGTGTAAGGGTTCCTTTAAAAGGGTGCCCTTCGCGGTTCCTGTGAGGTTCCCATAAATAATAAGGTTCCTGTTGAATTGTCCAACAACAACTCCCTGGACTGCTTGTTGGGGTCACAATCAAGGAGAGATATTCAGATGCAAAGAAGGAAGGGGAGATCATCGCTTACGCGGGCAGCAAGTATCTGAAGGTGCCGGCCACCACCCTGTTCCCAGCACAAGGCTGCCTCAGACAACAGGAGGTCGCGGAGGAATTGTTCGCGCAGCGGAGATTTACGGATGGACCAACAGCTGCTTTTTGCGCAATTAATGTGCGCCCTCCTCGCCCTTGCAGTCCCTAACATACGCCTAAACCCTAAACCCCAAACCCTACACCCCAAACCCTAATTTATCTATACTTGCATAAACCCTGTCTGATTCGTCTTGTGCCTCACGTTACCTGGTCAATTCGGACGTCAAATGCGAAGTTGCTGAGTCAAAGCTCAATTGTTTAGGGCTTAGGGTTTAGGGGTTCAGGGGTTTAGGGTTCAGGGTTTAGGGGTTTAGGGTTTAGGGTTTTGGGGGCTTTGGGTTTAGGGGCTTAGGGTTTCGGGTCTATAAGAACTTTTGGCTACGTCGATCCAAACCCTAAGCCAGAACAGCCCTGCCCCGCCAGAAATACTCTCACCTACCAAAACCCACATTTTTGAGGGTTCTTATCATAAACCCTAATATGGGAATCATAGGGACCCTACAAAAAATAGGTTCTGGTGGGTTAAGGTAAATTCTCAACCTGAAGAAGTGGGCCGAAGGAGTGAGCATGGCAGTGCCACGTAGTGGTTTAGGGTGTAGGGCTTAGGGTTTAGCGGCATACGTTGGGGATTAGAGTTTCTGTAGGCTCTAGGGTTTGGAGTTTAGGGTTTAGGATCTAGGGTCGGGTGTGGGGTCCAGGGTTGAGGGTTTGGGATTTAGGGTTTAGGGTTTAGGGTTTAGGGTTTAGGACTAAGGCTATAGTGCGTAGTGGTGCCTGGAGAGTTTAAAGCCCGAGCAGGAGATCGGCGAGATCGACCTCAGCACGGGATTCCGGGAAGGCTCGCCAGACACCCTAAACCCTAAACCCTAAACCGGGAAGGCACGCTGGCCACAGACAGGAAGCATAATGTAGACTCTTGACTAAAGCATAAGCGAGGAAAATGGAGTAGAGATCCTAATCTTAAGGGGGGTCTAGGGTTTAGGGTTCAGGGTTTCGGGTCCAGCGTCCAGGGTTTAGGGTTTAGAGTTTAGGCTTTAGGCCCTGAAGGAGAGAAGTGAGTGGTTTCAAGAAGCCTCAAACCTCTAGGACGCTAGAGTTTAGGGTTTAGGGTTCAAGAAGCCCTACACCCCAAAACCGAGGGGGGTTTTCAGGATCTACCTTACTAGCTAGGTTTGGGCCACTGAAGGCGCCTGGTACAACCGAGCTCTTGCCTCAACCCTAAACCCTAAACCCTAAACCCTAAACGGCCCTAAACCCAAAGCCCTAAGCCCTAAACCCTAAACCCTAAACCTTGAACCCTGAACCCTAAACCCTAAACCCTAAACATTGGTTGCAGTTGCTTCAGGCCCAGCCCTAAACGCAGGTCCCACGCCCGAAACCAAGAAGCCTAAGCGCGATTACGAAGCCATACTACATCCTAGGCGCTAAACGGTTTAGAGTTTAGGGTTTAGGAGCCATACTACATCCTAGGCGCTAAACGGTTTAGGGTTTATAGGGTTAAAGGGTGTAGGGTGTAGGGTGTCACGATTTTGGGAATGGGAAGCTGCGGGAATGGTCGAATCTTAGACATCAGCCCCATCCTACCCCCGTATACAACCCTAAACCCTAAACCCTAAACCCTGAACCCTAAACCCTAAACCCTAAACCCTAAACCCTAAACCCTAAACCCCAGCCCCAGCCTAGGCCCAGGCCGTGGCTTGTTAAGGCCCTACAAAACTCCTATACCATTAAGTCCTAAAGGCCAGAAGCCCTAAACGCTAAACCCCAAAGTGTCTTGTTGTGTGAGCTGGCAGACAGGCTAAACCCTAAACCCTGAACCCTAAACCCTAAACAGCCCGGGCAACTCGAAGCCCGATTGTTGCGTGCTCTGCTATTTCGAAGTGGGCTTAATGCATTCATCAATTTTACAAAGATTGGGAGCCCTACAACCCTGCATGAACCTTCGTGACCCTAAAAGCTTAACCCCGAATAAAGGCCCATGGCCTTACTACATATATCCCTAAACGCTAAAACCTGAAATGATGGATCCTAAGCCCGCACCGAGCTTTTATATTAGGAACCCTACAAGATCGTTTAGAACTTTGAAGAAACTTTAGAGCAGCAGACGCTGTAAAGTGCACGCTGGGGAGGAGACGCCCTAAACCCTAACCCTGGGGAGGAGACACCCTAAGCCCTAAACCTTAAGCACGCCCTAAGCCCTAAACCCTAACCCCACAAAGGAGACGCCCTACGCCCTAAACCCGAAACACGCCCTAAGCCCCAAACCGGAAGCCGCTCCAAAGCCAGACCCCTCCTGAACGCGGTCCAGAGGAGCTCGAAATCTTGGACAAGGAAGCCGCCATAGAGGAGCTCATCAGGTTGAGCAAGATAAGCGTGCTCGAGGAGGTCCATGACAAACGCATGAGGTCTACGATTGGAGATTCCGCGACAACAAGCGGAAGCAGCGATGTAGAAACGTGCTTCAGGTCCTCGACTGGCCCACCGGCTCGGGCGACGAGTGGGTGTGGGCCATGCAGCTCGTGATAGAATACCGTCTAAGGCCAGATACGGGCAAGTCCCGTTTTTAAACCCACCTCAGGGCAGGTGCATCAAGTACCGCCGAAACTTTCTCGCCGAGAGCATTTGGGTGCGGAACCCACGAACGTGAGCCGGCTCTGCAATTCACTACTGAGACGGAGAACGCTCCGAACAAGTTCCCCTTAAGCCCTGCGCCCTAACCACTTTGGAGGAGATGCCCTACACCCTAAATCCTAAGCACGCCCTAAGCCTTAACCCTAAGCGCTAGACCCTAACCCCCGGGAGGAGACGCCCCAAACCCAAACCCTCCTAAGCACGCCCTAAGCCCTAAACCCAAGCCCCAAACCCTAACCCTGGGAAGCAGACGCCCTACGCCCTAGACCCAAAGACTTTGACCCTAACAGGAGACGCCCTAAGCCCAAACCCCAAGCACCCTTGGAAAGGAGACTCCCTACGCCCCAAACCCTAAGCACGGCCTGAGCCCTAAACCCGAACCCCAGGGAGGAGGCCCCCTGTGCCCTGAACCCTCAGCATGCCCTAAGCCCTAAACCCTAAGCCCGAAACTCTAGCCGGGGAGGAGATGCCCTAAGCCCAAACCCTAAGCACGCCCGAAGCCCCAAACCCCCTAAGCCTGAAGAGGAGACGCCCTACGCCCTAAACCCTAAGCACCCCCTACTCCTAAACCGCAAGCCCGAAGCCCTACTTGGAGGTTCATGGGTATTTATAAGCAGGGTTATACGTAGGACAACTATAGTTATCTACCCATGAACCTCCAAGTAACCGGGGAGGAGACGCTGTCACCGTCCAGCGGACTGTGCTTAGTCGGCATCTGACTGCGCCTCCGAAGCACTTGCCTCCCAGCTTGCATGGCATATTCCTGTCTACTGCTTCAGTACCTTAAGCTTAAGGTTTAGAGTTTAGGATTTAGGGCTTAGGAGCTTCTAGGTTTAGCGTAAATTGTGGCGCATTGCGTAATATTCATCAGTGATTCATCAGGGATATTGAAATCCCAAAACCTTCAGCCTTAAATCCTAAACACCCCCTTAAACACTTCACTTACATAGCTCTTTGCCAAGATACTCCTCTCACTCTTGAGCCCCAGACTCAAAAGCCCGGCCCAGAAGCCATACATTCCGAGGGATCACCCACTACGCGGCTTAGGGGTTCAGGGCTTAAGGTTTGGGGCTTAGGGTTTAGGGTTTATTTAGTGTTTAAAGGGTCGGCCTAGGGTTTAGGGCTTAAGGTTTAGGGTTTAGGGTTTAGGATTTATTTTGGGTTTCAAGCGTTTAAGAAACCCTGGGTTTGGGGTTATTTAGGGTTCAAAGGGTTCAAGAAACCCTAAGCCGGAAAGGACAGAGAGCGAGCTTCTGGCCCTGATGGACCAGCATGGTATCGGCGTCTTGGAAGCGGTCGGAAGTCGTCGAGTTCAGGGTTTAGGGTTTAGGCCTAATACGGTTTAGGGTTTAGGGCTTAGGGTTTAGGGCTTAGGGTTTAGGGTTTAGGGCAGTTTAGGGTTTAGGGTTTAAGCCTAATACGGTTTAGGGTTTAGGGTTTAGGGCTTTGGGTTTAGGGTTTAGGGTTCAGGGCTTCGGGTTTACTGTAGGGCTTTGGGGTTTAGGGTTTAGGGTGTTGAGGGTGGAGGTGCTATGCCCTAAACCATAAACCCGTTAAATGGGCCGTGGAGCAGGTTCGGACGTAGGGCCTCAACTGAACTCCGGCAGGCCCCGCTCTTCGTGAAGAAGCAGCTGGAGGCCTTTACAGCGTGGCGGGCCGGCTGTGCTCCCTCAAAGCGGCGTATCCACCTCATCCCATTGGTGGACGCCTGCGTAAAGGCTTTGAGGAGAGCCCGCAGCCGCAAACTGCAGCTTCTGGTGCTGCTGCGGTTTTGGCGCCTCGCGAACCTGCACCTTGGTCGCAGAACATGGCAACGTGGCTGGGTGCAATATCTAACGTGGGTCCAGACCCCCAGTACTTTCGAACTTGCTGGTTTTTGGTACGTCCATGTCCGCTTGCATTAAAGGAGGGCGTGGAGGGCTTGCCCAGACCTTCGTCGTCTGGAGCAGCCCAACTGGGGGCAGGTCCAACGGACCCTTGCCGGCAGGGCCTTTGGCACGCTCCACCCCGAAGGCATGTGGTTCATCCCGGGTAGCTTTGCTTGGGAAGTGTTCCGTTTACTGCAGTCAATGCATTGGCAGCCGTAGACTGAAAACCGAAAACCAAGCAGGGAGATATGGTACGTGTGTTGGAACGGAGGCTAAGGAGGGCTTACATAGTTTGAGCGTGTCCCGGCATGGACTGGACAGGGCACCGTGCCAGCTACGCGGCCGGGTTCGAGGGCCTGACCCTGGCAGAGCACACCGTCATGATCCTGAACCGATGGGAGCCGCCAGTCATAAATAGCATTCATAGTTGCAGTTTGAATTGGTTGTGTAAATCGGACTTGCTTAGCAGCTTAGCAAGCCATGCACTGGGGTCTTTTCCCATTAGTCCCTTCCGAACAGACGAAAGTCGTCCATCTTAGAGGAGAGTCCTTTCTCAGCACAGACCGGTCCTATCGTAGAGATGCAGCCCGAACGTCAACAAGATGGCTGACAGCTGCACTCGATAAGTAACCGTTTTTGGCGTAATTAAGCTGTCAATCAAGCAGCAGCGGTAGCACCAAACAGGCTGCTCCGAAGTCACAATTAAAATTGCAAACCAGAGCACATCACGCCGAAGCACACTCACCAAAGAAGGGGGTGCCCGCCCGGCCCTGGCCCAAATTTTCGATTGACCAACTGCCAGGGCGAGGATTGGGGCAGGATTTTTCTAGGAAGCTTCGGGATAAGACAGAAGTGCAATCCGACTACCGAGCTCCTACGACATTCGGAATTGTCGCAGGGCTTTGGGCTTAGGGCTAACGCCGAGCTGAGAAGGTATATCTTCGGAAATGTGATGAACATTTCTGCATGGTATCAAACATTAGTTCACACGACTTTGCTTCATGAAGCTTTGTTTGAGGGTAACTGCCACTTTCCAGATTTCCGGATAAGATTACAATTACTAGCATGACACCCCAGAAGGTTTAAGGTTCAAGGTTCAGGGTTCAGGGTCTAGGGTTTAGGATTTAGGGGTGTTGTAGGGGGATGTAAGGTTTGGAGTTTGGGCTTCGGGGCTCTAGGGTTGTAGGGTTTCGGCTTTTGGTTCAGGGTTTAGGGACCCTAAGCCCTAAACCTTAAACTCTAAACTCTACGGTAAACCCTTTTAGGGCTGGGGGCGTAGCCCAATGTACATGTTTGGGTTCAGCGCCGGGCCTATCTTCGGTGTCCAGAGCCTTGCCAGAGCATGCACCTTCCCAGGATTTTGCCGTTTGAGTGGTTTTAGGATTTAGGGTTTAGGGTTGAGGGCTCAGGGTTTTATGATCCAAGTACGTCTCATCTAGCTGTAAGTACCTATGACCTATCACATCATTTTGCTATGTTTCTAGCCATAATTAGGTCACAAAAGCACCTTGAACCTCCAAGCACGCCCTTAACCTTAAACCACGCGCCTGTGGGGGCCCAATGTCCTATATAAACCCTTCGTGGGTGGAAAATCTCCAGAACGTCCTGCAAGACTTTAAGATCTTATGGATGCCAATGATGTGTTCATAGCCGAATACTGCAACGACCGCACGCCTCCGAATACCCCTAAATCAGCAACCACATGAGTAGTTTTCCTAAACCCTAAACCCTAAACCCTAAACCCTAAACCCTGAACCCTAAACCCTAAACCGTTGATTAGGGTACCTAAACAGGGACTTGTTCTAGAGAACTACCCATATGACCCCAGAGCCAAGGCACTGATGCATCCATGGCATCACACGTGGGCAACGTGCAGTACCTCGCTGTGCGGTTTAGGGTTTAGGGTTTAGGGTTTAGGGTTTCGTAAACCTGAACCCGAAATCCTGAACCCC